CCAAATCAGAACTGTGATCCACAGTGGCTTTACATGAAAACACATTTTGCCAATCTAACCTCAACTGGCCTAACCAGTTTCGCCCCAACAGAATCGGCTGACTCTTACTTTCTAAACTAACTACTGTCAAAGGCAAACTCGCCTGCTGATTATTATATTTAACATTGACATTCACTTGTCCCAGAACAGGTACATCATGACCTGAATAAGTAGTAAGTTTCACATTTGCTGGCCTAAGTTTGAGGTTAGAAAATTTTTCATAAAATATCTCAGAAGGACATATAGTCAAGGCACTGCCTGTATCTAGAATCATTTCTAAATATACATCATTAGCCACTAGGCCTACCTTATAGCCGTTGTCTGATCCTGATTTAAGGTTGTACAGACCTATCTCTGCCATTGGAACTTCTAGGCCTAGGCCTACCTCTTCCTCCACTTGATGGACCCCCATCCTAGGTGTCGACTTTTTACCATGGAAACTAGAAGATTTCTTGGCTTTACACACTTTCTTGAGATGACCTACTTTCTGACAACCGTGACACTTGTAACTGGCGAACGCACACGCACTAGGCCAATGACCCGCAGAACCACACCTCCAGCAAGAGTTTCTAGAATTTTGATTTTCACTACTCCTATGCATGAAAGTTTTAGGCCTATTTTGACTTTTCACATTGATTTTCGCAATGTCCCCACGAGGTTGCACAAATAGGCTTGACTGCGATTCGGCCTGTTCCAGCCTGAGCGCTGACGCATAAGCTTCGTCAAAGTCCAATTCCTCCGACAACAATTTCTGCCGGATAGTTTCATTAGAAATGCCGGAAATCACTTTGTCTCTCAAAGCGTCTTTCAAAAAGGTACCAAATTTGCACGAACTAGCCAAATGTTTTATTGAAACCACAAACTCCGCTATGCTTTCGCCCGGCTTTTGCACACGAGAGTAGAATACATATCGCTCCGCCACAACCAACTTCTTGGGCGCATAATGTAATTTCAACAACGCTGCAAGTTCATCATAGGTCTTAGAATCTACCTCTACCGGTGATAATAAATCGGATAGGACCGATAAAACCCTGGGACCAATAACTGTAATTAAAACCGACACCTCGTTTTCCTTCTTGACATTGTTCGCTTTGAAAAAATGTTTCAGGCGCAACAAATAGGGCACAATGTCCTCCTCACTTGGATTAAATTCAGAAATCCTGCCAACACTAATACTCGCCATTTTTAATCATCTCAACTATAATACGCACTAAAACAACAACTGTTATCGCGTACTACCCTAACTATGATAAAAAGGTTTATTACCGACTGCGCCAAAATGTCGTAACCTAACCGTTACGTTAGAACACAAGAAAAGTGGACAGTAATTAAGAGAGAACCACTTACTATCGTTGGTGAACATAGAAGAAGGAGCCGTGACGAATCATCCCACTTCAGGGCCCAGTGCACAGTGCAGCCACCCCGCAAAACATAATAACTCTTCTGTTACTAATAAATGACTGTTCATATATATGAAACTATAATGACTTCTACTACACAAAATTTAGTTTTTTTAATGAAAAAGCATTTTTATTGAATACAAAACACATCAAACTCATCATATTACCTTTTAAAGTGACTAAACATGTTAGAAAGATTGTTATAGAAAATAAAAACTAGGAATTTCTCAACTTAATAGATATTTTAACATATTTATGGAGTTGAAGTTTTTTTAATTAAACTTTACCATATTTATATCCTTAAGCATATAAGTTAGAAATTTATAAAACGTATAAACTAGTAAAACACTGGTTAATGCCAAAAGTGTTTAATGTGTATAGGTTATTATCCTACAATCTGTCCAAAATGGGGACATTCTTATAAAACGGGGACGTCCCCATTTTGTCCTACCATGTACGTCCCCGTTTGACCCGCCACTTTAATAAAACAAACATGGCGTACCTAGCCTCCACTTTGAGATTTTTGGATAGAAGAAACGACAAATAGTAGCCTAATAACTAAAGATAGTGATCAAACACTTACTTTTTTTAACTCTCTATGTTGGGTACGTAAAAACACAGTTGAGACACGAACAAAAATCCAAAGAATAAATCGTCAAATATTTAAAAGTGTGCAACATGAAACTTATAGTCAGTATATCAACGGTAACTAGCTCAAAGTAGAGTGAGATGGTTAGTTCGCAATAGTTCGTCAAAGATCAGCTGATAGCAGCACTAGTTTAGCAGTACCGGAATGTCCCCATATTGCCTAGTGTCCCCATTTTAGACAACTCTCCCCTAAACAAAACAGTTCAGTATGTTTTTTTATATATTTATGTTATCCAGCTACAATTTATTGATTTTCTAAATACACTCTCAATATCTTTTATTTTATTCATATTTTTGCAGTTAGAGCCGCGCCGACTTGAAATACGTGAGCTTGACTAATACAAAAGTTTACTTTATTGAAATAATTTCATTCTTTTTAGAGCATTTGAAGTCGGTTGTATTTTTTTACAAAAATAAATTATTTCATGATTTTTAGTGACTGTATGATTTGTTATATATTAATTACTTGAAGGTTTTTGATAAGCAAAACTGTTTGAAACAATCAAAAGTGCCACAGAAATTGCAAATCAGCTTCCCATTTCCGAAGCAGGCATAATATTATTGACAGTGAAGAATATTAATAAACATTCCACATCTTGACATCTTCAAATGCATGTTTAGTAATTAAAATATTTAACACTTTTAAGACGATTGGGGATTATGCAATCTCACACCTCTTATGTCGAATATATATATCTTATGTTGAAATACCTTTTTTATAGTAACCAAAACAAAATGTATTTTTTCAATGTTTCTTATTTAGGCTCCATGGCAAGAAATAGTTTATTAATCAATATGAAGCAACTGTTTCATGAAGAAACTGTCTGTAGCTTCATTTAAGGGGAGGGTACACTGAAAATTGGTCAAAAACTGCTAAAATATGGAAAATATTTTTTTGGTCCCTAATTATTTTTGAGGTCTTTCTGAATCAGACAAACATAATTTTGTTGCAAAAATTTATATATTTATATATAATAATAATTTTTAAAATAATGCTTACACGCAAATTTTGGGCAAATTTTGGTCAGCATTTCGCTGTGTTTTTACCAAAACTATGTTTTTTTATAGTTATGTAAATTATAGCTGAGATAAATTTTGTATTTTGGTGTTTTTGTCTTGTTGTCTTTGATATTTATTGTACACTGTCAGCCAATCTCAGCAAAAACAGCTGTTTGAATAAATAACAAACAGAAACCTTGTGTCATCTTCAAATGTTTGTTGTTGTGAGTGAAACCTAACCTTATATGTTTGTTAGTGATTATAAAAGTAGTTTTGGTTTATTATTTTCATTACAGATAATAAAAGTGAGTAATAATGCCTAGAAAAGGTAAATTATCATCCAAAAATAAAAAGTCAATCTCTTGTAGATGGAAGAAAACTGATCCACCACCTCAGGTTCTGGCTGACCCTAGGCCCAGCCTAGACTTGCGATTCTCGAAAATTGAAATTTTCATGTTTTTAAGAACTAAAAATGCTAAAACTAAAAAAGTTTTGCAGATACAACAATACAATTTTGCATGATTGTTCTAAACATATACAGCTACAAATTTATGTATGGATTTACAAATATCTTTAGTAGTTGGTGAAAAAATAAAATTAATTGTAATAAAAATATAATTTTAAAATTTCTCGAAATTTAAACTTTTCCAGAAAACTCCACAGGAGACATATTTTCTTATGAATACATAAAGTTGTAGTCTATATCATATACTTCAAAATAACACTTTAAAAATGTGTCTACACGCTATAGGTTAGGAACCTTAGCGTTTACCGTAAACCTTTACAAAATTTCTAAAAAGAGGGGTGGTGGGGGGGAGGGGCGTGTAAATCAGGCCAAAAACCGGTTATATTTAATGAAATAGGTTATATGTACATAAAGAAAAGAAGTAAACAAAATATAATTATATAAATAGGATTTTAGAATTTTCAGTGTACCCTCCCCTTAAATGGTTTTAACTAACAGCTGTAGGAATGCTATTATTATTTATTGCCTTCTCTGCAAAAATAAACAAAATAAATGTTGAATATTTGAGGTTTTCAGCATTTTTCACCAAACAAGTATTTTTCTTAAACATAATGCTATATATGGTACCAAATAGAAACTCTCCTGGTTATTTTGGTGGTGGAACCACGCTGATCGGTAAAAGAATCCCAGAGAAATTGGTGAACATACAAAGAAAAAAAAACATCACCACAGACAAATTGAGAACCTCCTCCTTTTGTTGGTAGTGGGGAAGTCGGTTAAAAAAGTAAATCTAATATAATTCAAGTTCTTAAAACTGGAACAACAAAAATTAAAGTAATAGAATAGTCAAGTTTGGTTATAGTAGTTTACGCAACGATTGCTTAAAGATAGTGTTAACGACAGGAGTAGAAAATTAAAGGTACGAGCTTTGGCGAGTGCCTTAAAAACTTCTACGAGTGTTGTTAACACTATTTACGCGAGTTGCGTACACTACTTTACCTATGACAGTGTTTTAAATACTAAAAACTGCTTCTCATTAACTTCTAAGAGAGGTTATGTTTTCGTTTATAACTCTCATTGCCACTGACAGTGATGCAACGAAACATTGTACCAAACACTAATTGAACCACTCAAAAATTAAATTGGCCTGAACAGCTGATTAGTTGAAGTTCAAATCATTCCAATTTTACTTCTTCTCTCTCAATCCTTGTACCTCATTGGTCCGTAACCCGTGTTGTTATGAGTAAAACTATACTGTTATGAAAGTAAACAATGCTGCCATGAAAACTTTTCAATTCTAAGAACTGTACTGAAACGGCTACTTTAAAAAATGGTCGTAGGTTCAACCTTAACAAAATACTAGCAACTGGCAATATACACAATGCTAAGGACTTTGTATTGTATATTATACTGAAAAGTATATAAAAACATTATAATAAGGTACATACATGATTATGCTCTGTGTGAGCAAAATATGGTCTAAGTTGTTCCCAAATTTGACAAAGCTCAGCTTTTGTTGCACCACATACACTGCCTTCCATGTTGCTGATGATACGCTCACTCACTCTATGCACTTCCAGTAAACCTAGGCAGTTTAAGATATTTTTTTTAAGTCATCACCAATAAAATTATACTTCATTTAACACATTTTGTTAGGTTATTTGTCACAAGTTAAAACTAACCGCAATACGAGTGCCTTGCAACAAGGAGGGACCGCAGAACGGAAAAGTTAGGTTCTTTAAGACTTTCATAAGTAACAGTTAAAGATGACTAATTGATTTTAGAAACAATTTTCATTTGTACTGCTTTTGTCATAGGCTACTCAGTACAATATGAGTAACTCTAATGTACGTGTGAAACTGTGTGATAAAACTTTGAAACGTTATGCTTACTTAAAAGCGTATTTACTGCTCTTGAAAAACCAAGCTATATCTCTAAATAATGTTGCCTCAGGGTACACTGTGAAGTAACAAACATGTTAGTTGGTATTAATGTAATACAAAATAGATATGTTTACCCAAATCAATCTATTGCCACTGAAGCTAAGACTAATTTCACAATAAGACGTTTTGGTTGCATTGAGTATTTTAATAGTAAATGGTACATCTCAGTTTGATAGTATTCCCTTTGGTTTAATTTAAGCAGCTGCGTAGCAAAATACTTTCACAAAATTTTTAAACATCATGGCACTTAAGTGTAGCCATTCATAAAATCTTCAGATTTTACAAAAGGATGCAAAGTGTAGCTCAGTCATCTACACTATACAAAGTCAATGATAAAAGAAAATATAAGTAATCGTTACAATTGGGCGAAACCCCTAAGAATTTGTGGTAGTAATTAAAAATATTAATAAAAAATTAGATAGTACAAAATTAGAGTAAATATTTCCTATCTTAAATAAAAATGTCCAATAAAGGTATCTCTTTGTAAAAAAAACACCTATATTTGAAGACCTTATCCAACCTCATCTAAAGCAGTTCAACGTCGTTAAGAAAAACCTAAAAATACAATTTAAAACAAGTAAACAATGTAATTTTTCTACAATTACCACAAAACCCTATTAATAAGATAATTGGTTGAACCATTGACTATATAACACTATAGATTGAAGACTCCATACATTTGGATGTGAACAAGCAATCAGCACACTCTGGCGGGAAGGGGCGATGATTGTGCTGACGTTCTTGACCAGTAGGTGCTGCCACAGTGTGGCGGGCGATAAAAACATAGTGCTGTCTGCTGTAATAACGCAATGTACAGACAGCCGACAGCTAAGCCATGACGTGACTTGCCGGAACTGCACATCTGCTCCCCGCTCGCCTCAGATTTGTGTTGTTAGAAGCGAAGCGCGACTGATCATTGTTTAACTACTTCACTAAAGAATCTGAGATATTAAGCAGAGACTAGTATCCAAGTATTTATCATAATATTTTAGTGGTTAGTGAATTTGATTGATACAAAATATTTTGTGTAGATATGTATCGATTTTGCTATCTTATAAAATTTAAAACACCGGTGGGAATAACTTAAATACAAATTTGCATAATCAAACCTATCATGTTGTAAGAATTTATAATCAAATATTTAATTGGAATTAAGAAAGTATGATTTTTGATCAACAAATAAATAAATTGGATTCACCTCACATAAAAATTAAAATTTAAGCTATTAAGTACGGTAGAATACATCCACCTAACACTTTGAAACTAGTGAACGAGCTTGAAATAACGATTACACAAAACGGCCAAAGCAAATAAACAGCAAAATGTGCTCAGACAAAAAAGAGAAAGTGAAATGACCGAACATGGAGGGGGGCAGAGTGTTCGTTTAGTTCGGTTATTATGTTATCAGCCAATTTCATAATAAGCTATTACCATCTGGGCTCATGGTTAGGACCTATACCCGTGATCGATTTACTTTTTCGTTTCAATGTCCCCAGAGACCAAACCTGATCCTTTCTCATTAAAAAATATGTACCTATACTACAGTATTATAAAACGTGGTGGTGAGAGTCAGTCTGTCTGTCTAGCAACTATATCACATCCATTACCATCCAAATGTTAAACCGATGTAGTCAAAATTAAGTACGAAGATCTATGAATGTTTTAGGCTTATTAACTTCCATTACTTAGCGGACAAATATCATACGTGGAAAGTCTATTAAAACAGTGTAGTGGGGAAAATATCGTAATTACTTTGGTTCTAAAATATGTTACTATTTGGACTTTAAAACAATAATACTGCAAGCTTAATGTTGATTCACCTCCAAAAACGTTGAGTATTCCAAAACACAAGAACATTGATGATGTGCAAATAATAAGAATGGTGTCACACAGTGGCGTAGCGACAATGGAGCAATTGGAACAGCTGCTTCAGGGCGGCAAGCATTAGGGGGCGGCGCCATTTTTTAAATGTTGTTGGCAAGCGTGGTAGCCCGGAAGGATGGTGAACGGGAGGGGGTAGGTATGACCCGAGTGACCTAAGTGAGTGGTGGGGGTAGTGGGGTAGAGCCGATGATGGCCGAATCGTGTCCGAATGCTCTCGAGGGGATTTGCCGCAGTGTCTGGCTCCTCCCCCCCCGTTCTTCCAAGACGTCATGTTCTGTTGTTTTGTTGTTGGTATTACCATTGACTACTGTAGTTACGGTCGCCATGCCACTTTCACTTTTGCCAGTTTGAATTTCAGGTCATAGCTACTTTACTTTGTTTACGCTAAATCTCCTTCCTAGTTTATGCAATTTATTTTTAGTTTAGGCGCTAAAGTGTTCACGTTGGTGTTCAGTGTAAGTTTGGCAGTGTGTAGTGAGTAAGTGATAGTGAATCATCTTTTCAAACAGTGCTTCTCTTCAAAATCGTTGGGCATGGGAAAGTCGTCAGACTTGTGTTCGTGTGTGTTAGTATCAGCGTGAGGTTAGGTCTGTATCCTTGTTTTTGTTATTATAATTTTCTAATATAATATAGATCGGATAAGTTAGTTCGTTATTTTCAAAATAACCACTTAGCCTATAAGTTAATTTAAAACACTGTAGGCCTAACAATTGAAGGGGTGAGTGTATGAAGGGGGTAAGTAACATTTTGTTGCTTTTGTGATAAATGGACCTAAAGTTTGCAGGTTATAACTTTTTAATTTTTAAAATTTTTTTTCATTCTTAAAACGCTATTAGGAAGGACAGAGAAGTAAAATTTTGTGCGCAAAACTTAATAAAAATTGAAATGTTCCTTCCTATTAAAATTTTAACTTTTCTATTAATTACCTCCTTTATACACTTAAAACAAATTGTTTTGTAGTGGAAGAAGGAGTTAAGTGATGTAAACGATTAAAATAAATTAATTTTGGTAAAAAAAAAAATAATTTTTTTCAACATGTTATAATAAAAAGTAGGTATACATTAAATAAGGTTGTGGCACCAAAATACACTTGAATGTAACAAGTAAACTTACTTAAAGTCTTAATCATAGACTTTATGTGCTGACTTGTAATTTTGTCCAAAAAATAGTAACTAAAAGCCGGCTATGCAAAATAAATACCGTACCACAAAATTAAAAATACTAAATATTTTTTAAATGTGTAAGTAATAACTGTATTTTATTAGATGCTTATCAGTCTTGTCTCTGCAATTTTTCTAAGAAATATTTCTTTTTCATGTACAATCTTTTACTTCTTGGAAGCAGTTACCTATAAAGAATAGCTAACAACTCGTTGTACTAAGTGGGTCCAATACGGTCCGATACATTTTTAAAACGCACTAAAATGCAAATATGAAATGTTCAAGGTAATTTTCATTGTCAGCTGATTTGGATATGATGTTAGCTGCAGTACGTACGTTTCTATTACCTAACAATAAGGGGGTGAGTGCAGGGGACAAGTGTGCAAAGAGTTATGGATGAAGGAGGTAAGTGAAACTTTACATGGACGAAGGGGGCAAGTGAAGCACAAAGAGTTATGGATGAAGGAGGTAAGTGAAACTTTACATGGACGAAGGGGGCAAGTGAAGCACAAAGAGTTATGGATGAAGGGTGTAAGTGAAACTTTACGTGGATGAAGGGGGCAAGTGAAGCACAAAGAGTTATGGATGAAGGGTGTAAGTGAAACTTAAAGTGGATGAAAGGGGCAAGTGAAGCACTTACCACCTTTATACACTCCATTTGGGTGCATTTCCTGTACTTAACCCCTAAGTTAAAACAAATAACTCAGCTGTTATTATACTTAGGACTATGAGAGTCAGTGCACTAAATGAGCATCACTTACACCCTTCATCCATGCATCAAACTCAATTTTTACAAAATTGTTACTTGCCCCCTTCATCCACTCAACCCTTCAATTAAGAACTTATCGTTAACTTAACTTAGGCCTAGAGTTGATTTGGAACTAGGCATTGCTTTTCTTATACCATTTACAGTAAAACTTATCTATCTAAAAATAAAAGTAACTTAAGTAGGTAGCATAGAACTAGAAAGTCTATTTTTCGATTAAGATTTTGTAGGCCTATGCTCTGTGAGTACGACAGTAGCCTAAGTTATGTTTGTTTTGGTTCAACCTCACACTTTTGATAAGTATGGGCACATAATCACCCTAAAAGACAAATAACTTAAGTTCATTTGATCCTCTTCTATGCGTAGCCTAGGGAAAGTTCCAACTGTAGGCTGGGTTACCTATCTCGGCATAGGTAGTATTAACTTATCTGTATCGTGCCTTAACTGCTGCTGTGTATGGCCGGCCCGCTGTAAATTTATTCACATAGTAGTATTAAGTTAAGATATATTTCTTTTTTGCTCAATTTACATAGCAGGCAGTCATGTTTTCGTTTTCATATTGTGATTAGATTAAGTTATTTGAACGTACAGATAGGCTTACCTAACAATGTCAAAGAAGTATAGTGGTGCGGAATACCGCAAACGAAGGCGAGAGAAAGAATGTGCAGAACTAAATGAACTGAAGATAACACCGAAGCTGTCGTGTTATTTTTTAAAAAAGAACAAGTCGTCAGATAAACAGTGTTCTAGTGACAGTAAAGACATAACGCAGAGTGAAACATCCGCTACTCCTTTTATCCTTTTTCCCACACTTCGCGGTACCAGCTCAGAGTGAATCTGTGGTTGTTCAGGATTCCATTAGTAGGCCTACAGTTGAGTACGAGAATGAAAAGGTTGGGATCAAACAGATTTGTGAACAAAGGGATGGCAAAGGGACAATTTAAAATGATATGGGAAATTTTTGTTGAAACTCTTACAGCTGAGAAAAAATAGCTTATTCCCTAAATGGTAAAACACAAAGACAACTTGACTGAACATTAGTAATGTAAGCATCTGAAAATATTAGGTAAATATTTAAACTTACAATCAAAGTAGGTGCTTGCCCTTGGATCCCGTATTACTTCAGAGACAACTTCTTGAGAGGAAGCTCTTGACAGAGTGGCTAAACCATCTTTCAACAAGTTCAAGCATGCTTCTAGACATCTTACCTACACAAATAGAAAATTAGAAGTAAAACTCAAGAAACTTTATCAGTGAATCCATACACAGGGCTTTATTGTCCATTAGTTACTATATAGACATGAATCCAATTAATTCGGGCTAAATGTAAGATTGCTAAAAATAATCGCTGTAAAAATAGATATTAAAAGAAAAGACTCTATGTCTAAATTGTTTACAAAGCAATGAAAAACAAAATGCAACCCTGCGGATCTTAGTATCAGAGCTTACTCACATACAGTCAGATTTGACTTAAAATCACACACAGGCCCATGTGGTAAATTTGTTTTTGTTTGGAAACATCCTGCTAACAAATTGAATAGATAAAACATTATTTCATTTGATTTTAACATAGTAACAGAAGGGTTTTTCATGACTCTGTAACGTTTCGATAACAACGCCGACTTCAATGAAAGTAGTCGTTTCCCAAGCTCTTATTCAGGGCGAGGGAAAATCGATCACCTGATTTTTACTCGTTCTAAATTTACTTTCCCTCGCTCTCGATTAGTTCTTTATTCATCCACTATGCGCGCTAGTGTTTTGTTTTGTTAGGATTGCTTTTATGATTTAAATCAGCTGATTTTATTGTTGGACAATCTAAATGTACACAGAAACAGGCATTAGTTTGTTTTGCTGTGTTTTTATGTTTGTGCATGTTTGAAATTGCTCAAAGTATGTCTAACATTACTGATGATTTGATGAAAACAGCTTCAGAGGTAACTTATCACCTAACGAACTAAATCACGGGTAAGATAAGAAGAGGAATACAGAAAGATTAGAAACTGGTAAAAATTACAAAATGATAAGTCAGTTCAAGTAAGTGACGAAGTATTTATATTCATCTAAAAATCTACAATTATGAAACCATGTACTTTGTGGAGTGCATTTTCAATGATAAAGAGTGGTCTTAAACTATTTTAATACTACTGAGATATGTTATTCTGTATGTGTGTATTTTTGCTTCGTGATGAAAAGTATCGTTCATAACTCGTACTGAAAGCTATTTTCCGACTCTTGCTGCTTCGTCTCGGACGTGAAAATAACTCTCACATGCTCGGCTTTGCCTCGCACGTGAAATTTGGTTTTCCTGTGTTGAGTGCGCGTCGGAAAATGCCACTTTCGGTCCTAGTAATGAAATACACTATTCATATCCTTACATTTAAATAAGTTAGGTATTAATATTACATGCTTCATTAGAGACAGCAATTTGAAACCTTAGGCCGGGTGTATGCTGAGACGCTTGTGGCACAACGCACGCAAACCAAGTTTCGCGGCGCAAGCCACTCAGAACACGGATGTTTGACCTACACATGTTGGGTGCAGCACACACACTAAGCTAAGATCTATGATAGTAGTGACTGAATTTTCTGAGGAAGGTTTAGGAGATGAATTTTCCCCAATTTAAATGGCATTATGTTTGGTTTTTTTTGTGAAATATTAATAGTTAATTGTAAAATAAATATACTTGATAAATTTAATCAAAATACATATCCATAAACAAGCCAACTACAACAGTTTAATTATTCTCCATAAATCTTCTATACTTATAAAAGGCAAAGCCCTCACTGACTCACTCACTCACTCACTCATCACTAATTCTCCCACTTCCCATTTACCTAGGAGGCTGGAATTCGGTACACCGATTCTTTGGGCATTAAATAGGAAAACTAAGTAGTTTTTATTCTGATCGGGCTTTCGGACTCCGCCCCAGTGGCTCTGGAGTTTCCCATGTTAACCTTATGAGTACTCATATTTAAATGGAATTAAAGAGTCTAAACAGCTGGTTCAACTAAAAAAGTTGATTCTGTGATGTTCAATAGCATTAAAGAGTTAATAGGTTTACCAACAGGGTGCAGCACTATTATTTTTTTACATTCATGACAACAGCTTGCAACCAAAAGGTGAGTGAGCGTAGTGAAATAACTTCAACCTGGAGGCGAGTTAGCGTAGCGAACGAGCTAACCTGAAGGCAAGTGAGCGCAGCGACCTAAAGGTGAGTAAGCGTAGCAAACGAACTTCAATCAGGACGTGATTGAGCCATGCGAATGAGCTCATCTTGAAAATTAACGAGCATTGACATAAAACCACATTAGGAAAGGAAGACGACTTGACCAATTGAGCAGATTTTTTTCATGAATAGAGCCAATATAACCAAAGGCTTAGTGGAGATACTCATTTTTAATTTATTATTAATACTTACGAAGTTAAACGGGGCAAAGCCCGTGGGTACAGCTAGTATTATATAAAAGTTTAAGTATTTTTTCCATAATTATTAGCTTTGGTATGCTAAGCTGTTCGGGTTTTTAAGCTCTAAGAAAGATTGCAACTTTTTATGTTGGGTGTTGGGTCAAAAATGGGGAAAACAGTTTTTTTTTAACTATAAAGCTCTGTTCCCATAGTCAGATGTTGCCACTTCGGATCTTCGTGGTTACATCATACAACCCTAGACCAGGGACGGATTTCCCACTAGGCACACTAGGCCAATGCCTAGGAGCGGCACCCGTCAGGGGCGGCAGGCCCTTGACCGGTGCCGCCGCTTATGAGTGCCGCCACTTACGGGTGCTGCCGTTTACGTGTGCTGCCGCTTACGAGTGCCGTCTCTTAAGCCGGGTTTTCCTAGGCGCGGAAGTGAAGAGCGAAGAGAGGAACGCGGAGAGCGGACTCCACTTGTCTTAGGTAATTTAATGTTACTGTTTTCCTAGAAGCGGAGCGGAATGCCATGTTAATCTCTATTCCGCTCTCCGCGTTCCTCTCTCCGCTCTCCACTTCCGCGCCTAGGAAAACCCAGCTTTACGTTTTTCCCGCTGCTTACAAGTACCGCCGCTTACGAGTGCCACCACTTACGAGTGCCGCCCCTTACGTTTTTCCGTCGCTTACGAGTGCCGCCGCTTACGAGTGCCGCCCCTTACGTTTTTCCCGCCGCTTACGAATGCCGCCACTCACATTTGCGGCCACTTACTAGTGCCGCCGCTTACGAGTGCGCTGCTTACGAGTGCCGCCACTTACATTTCCTGCCGCTTACGAGTGCGCCGCTTACGGCTGCCGCCTAGCCGCTTATGGGCGCCGCCGCTGCCATGGTCCGCTGACTGTAGGTGCGACCACGACGGCACGGTGGTGACAGAAAACGACAGTCAAAGGGCAATGATGAGATAGATGAGTTTGCAATGGTTAAAAGTAGGAGGAAACCATTGTAAGGACTCAGAATGAAGACTTTACAAAGATATTTATGTGTAAATATATAATTTCGAAGTCGTTATTTCTTATATTCAACTCAAGTACTGTATTTCAATATTACGTATTTTAATGTTTGTGGCATGGTAGACCTTTTCAACTGTAATTAAAATATAAAAAATAACTTGCAGTGTTATTTTATGAACACTCTAAATGGGTTAGACTTAGTTTATATTTAAAAAATAATAAATTTCACCATACAAAGAAGTTTTTAGCCGTTTTACAAAACGCTAATTAGAGGCTGGAAGCTATTGCTGTCCAGGACCGAAATGGCAGCTGTCATCGTCATTGGGGACCGATTTGGTTTTTACGGCCCTAGGGTCACAAAACCAGTTGTTCGCTTACTTACTTAAAACATCAATGTATATAAAATAAAATATACAAGCAATATCCATAGGCCTATGCATTTTATGTCATCGCTGCCTTTTTATTAGTATATTTTTGCTGGTTCCTCTAGATTATTCCTTCACATAACCTTAAAGTTGTAGTTGTGTTAACTGTTAATATGCATTTTTTATGGTGTGAAATTTAAAATGACAACTTAAGACCCTCAATTTTTGTACAGTGTGGTGAAAAATGGCGTTCGTACCACGGGCCGAAAGGGTTTTGCAGCTCTTGACTTGGTCCTGAACTGGTCCTAAACATACTATGAAGGGGGGCGATATAAGGATAGTGCCTAGGGGGGAAATATTTATAAATCCTTCTCTGCCCTAGACTAACCAATAACAAGTAGACTTCTCATCTCATTGTAAATTTTGAAGCTCGTTTTTTGTGTCTAGTTCATATTAGTAAAACTGGTCGCTAGTGTTGACAAAATTTTATTACCATTTTTAAGGTTTAATTTAATGATTTGTGCTTTTTTGTTTGGTTATATAACTTGGGGACAAGTTATTATTTATTATTAGATTGTTTTATTTAGCCAAACAAGGTTTTAAATTACTGAAATAAATAGAAACAAATTGTAAACAAAACACAACCTCTTCAGTGCACCGGACGGAACTAACAATAAAATTGTCTTCAGCTGATCTATAAGGATGAGAAATCTACTAAGGGAGTATGTTTTATCCAAGGGTCCAAGGCGTATAAAAGAGGGTAAAAGAGGGGGCATCGGGAGGCGTAAACTCGTCCAGTTTGCACAGCTATGTCACGTGCGAGTCACCCCAACGCACCACGCCGGCGTCGCCCACACAAACTGCTTGCTGAACATGTTTTATTTTACCGAATCATATGTTTTCTTGTAATTTCTCTAAGATTTTTTAATGACATTCGTATTAGCATTGAATACATAACACTATGTGGTATTATATATTCAATATACAGTACTCCCCTCATATACGATTATGGCCCGGTCTCGTCATGGTCGGATATAAACATCCAAAAGGTCGGATATCGTGAGGAGCATAACCTTCAGTCTCCATGACATCGGCAATTGTCTCCCGCGACTGTGACAACATCTGTGAGCGTAACTTGCCGTCTCGGCGACTTCGGTAATCATCTCCCGTGACCGTGGCACCAGCTGTGAGCATAACTTGCAGTCTTGGGGATTTTTCTAAGCCTTGGGGATATTTTTGGCAGATTGTGTCTGGTGGAGGATTTTTGGCGGATTACTGGGATGTTATCGAATTTATTGGAGAATTATGATTTTGAGTCAGGAATAAGGTTAATATAGTAAAAAAAAGGATTTCAGACAAATAAAACCGCGGAATGACAGAATAGATGATGCCAACAGTTTGTTATCAATTGTTCAGACATTTCGTGG